CCCGCGAATTCGCTCATCGATCGCTTCCAACGATGGAAAAAATGCGTGAAAAAAATGCGAGAGAGACATGCAGAGCCTATGTGCTGTGTGGTTGGTTGGTTAGTGGATAGTTGAGCCAATCTTTCACGCGGAACTAGGTTGAAAGATTCTTGAAAAATAATCGTCTCAATGATGAAGCTTCCACCCCCACCCCCCACCCTTCACCCACCCCCCGTAAACCCGCCAGTTACGCTGCTGGCCTTACTCTCGCAACGTGGCGCCACGATAGCAACCACGTGACCGTATCCTTGACGACGTATCAAGTGTTCGCGTTTATTGTTCTGTAGGAATCGATTACACTTTTCTCGTTTGCGAGACAGAAATCGAAAAAAAAATCGGGCATTTGAAAAAGAAAGGCGTGTCATAATAAAAGCTATACGGTAGTTTTAGCGGCAGTAAAGCTATATAATGCTCGCAGAACTGCTCACAGCTTTCACGCAATAATACGCGATGCTGTAAAACGTTATTGGCTTGGTGGTCTGGAAGAATCATGAACTGGTGAGTTCGCGGCGTATGTATCGGGCCGTGTATAGGCTAAAGATTTTTAATCGCAGATCTCTAGTCGCAGATGTATAAGAAGAAAGATTTTTAGTCGCAGATCTTTTGTCGCAGATGTATAAGGAAAAAGAGTTCTAGTCGCGGAATATCTTTAATCGAAGATCTTTAGTCGCAGATGCATAGGAGAAAGATTTCTAGTCGCAAATTTCTAGTCGCAGACCTGCGCCAGCCGATGGCCGGTCGACAGTCCCCTATCTGTAGTCGCAGACCACCCCAAAAAACCTCACATAGCGTGCCGAGAATTTGTGCGCGGTAGGGAAACCTGGTTAACGTAATCTGTCCGTCCTGATGTGCGACGTGTACCCGCCCGAGTATTTTAGGAAGATACGGACATATAATCGGTGCCGCACTGACATTAAGGAATGCGGGAAGACGAGTCGAGGGGAGGGAAGGGAAGGGGAGGAGAAGGAAGGGCAGCTGAATTAGGCACGGGGGACACGAGGGAGGGGCATCTGAAAAACTCGAAAAGGGGAAGAAGAGGGAACGCACGGGAGAGCGGGAAAAGACGGGATTGCAGGAAAACAAGGGAGTGCAGATAAGCAGGCTAGAGAGGAAGAAAAGACTGAAGTGCAGGAAATATAGACAAGATAGCAAGAACACAGAAGATGAGCAGCTAAACAAATAAGG